TGTGTGTATTATGGGATGGTGTGTGTCTCTGTGTGTATTATGGGATGGTGTGTGTCTCTGTGTGTATTATGGGATGGTGTGTGGATGAAGGCCTGAGCCCAGATTTTGGTGAAATTTGATTATTATGGGATGTTTGCAGAGTTCTGGCTCCAGCTGAGGCAGCAGGACCGGCCCGCTGGTGTCTGGGCGGTTCGGTTCTCTTCTCAGTAATAAAGCTGCAGCTGATGGCGGCTGTTTGTGCGCGCGGGGGCGGCGGGCTGCTATGACGTCATTTTGCGGTGCGGTTTTCACGGGAGGACGGGGGCAAATGAAGAACCCCCCCGGTACGACGGAGGGGTAGTTGTGGCCCTGGTGGGGCAGGAGGAGGCGGTGGTGAGTCAGTGGCTGAAGCAGAGAAGGACGCAGTGTGGGCGGGTTCAGGAGGAGGGACGCAGCGGAGCATCCACCGTTCTCCGAAAAACAAGGACATCCATCCTGCTCACGTCTCCTACCGAACCGACACGAGCAGCCCGTCCCCGGTCCACCTGCTGGTTCGGTTTGTGTGTCAGCCTGCGGGGATCGAGCCGAGCCGAGCCGAGCCGAGCGGCGGGGCGTGAGAGGCGGGTGCTGGAGCAGCGGCTGGGTACCACCGGGAGCATCACTCAGCACGGTAACGTCAAATCTGCGACATTTGTGCTCCGATGTGTCGGAGAGGCTGCAGCGGCCCGGTGCTGGCCGGTGTTGGCCCGGTACTGGGCCGGTGCTGGCCCGGTGCTGGCCGTGTGTCGGAGCAGAAATGTCGCAGAGGCTGTCTGAGGTGGAGGACGAAGCGATGGAGTCTATTTTTAATGTCAGCACCACCGATTCTGTGATTTGTTGAACCTGAAACATGAGAACGGCTTCACCTGTCAGGCTCCATCTGCAGGTTCCCTGAAGGTTCCCTGAAGGTTGTCTGATGGTTTGTAACGTGTTCTGATGATCACATGTTGATGCATGTCCTGTCCCCCCTCTCCCCCCCAGATGGACAGAATGAATTTTCTCTCCTTCCTCCTCCTTTGCTTGACTTCGGTTGCCAGTGGCAACAAAGGTCAGTTCTCATCCTTCTGTTTGGGGGGGGGGGGTGTTACTGTGTTTCATGGTGTCTGTGAGGATGATGATGATGATGATGATGATGAATCTGAGGCAGATTTATCATCGTGATTCTCCATCATTGTTCATGATT